AAATATATAAATATATAAATATATTTATGTATATAATAATAAAAATGAATATGATAATATGCCAAATAAATAATAATTAGAGAAAAAATAAATAAAATCATAAGAAAGAAAAGAAAATATTAAATTTAAAAAAAAGATTAATGAATTAATAATAAAATCTATACATCATTGCCATATACAAGATATTATTTATCCAACATATTAAAACCATCCATACCATTTCTAAGCCATCATTAAATAATAATTATCAGGTGGAGGAGTTAATAATGAAGGGGTCAGTATTGGGGTTATATTTACATCACTGTCAGCATTAACATTACTGTTGCCATCAGTAGTATTGTCATTGCTATTACCATCAGCGGTGTTGTCCACATTCTTATTATCATTACCACTCTTGTTATTATTGTTATTGTTAGTAGCGGCGGTGGAATTGTTGTTGTAGAAATCGTCATCATGCAATGAATAATATAAATAATCGTGACTATTGAAATAACTTGGGATGTAATCGTTGTGTAATAAATTGGCCGGACTAACAGAGTTGATCAGGTGATTGATGTTGTTGTATGGGTTTTGATGTTGTTCATGTTGATGATTATTAAACTGATGATGAGATTGAAGATCATGGGATTGAGATTGAGAATGATATTGGTTTTGTGGAGAATTAGTAGTTGTGAGTGGATGATTTGGTGAATGTAAAGGTGTAATCATGTGGTGGTGATTATTGTGAGGATGTTGTTGTTGTTGCTGTTGTTGCTGTTGTTGTTGTTGCTGTTGTTGCTGTTGTTGTTGTTGCTGTTGTTGTTGTTGCTGTTGTTGTTGTTGCTGTTGTTGTTGATTATGATGATGATGATAAAACGGCGAGGGATTGTAATAAGTAGATGAGGATATTGGTGAAGAAATATTATTATTATTATAATGATTATTATTGTTATTGTAATGATTATTGTTATTGTTATAATGATTGTCGTTATTGTTGTAAGAGGCATTTGTGGCAGTTATTGATGATGGTGTTGTTGTAGATGATGGTTGTGGAAATATTGAATTGATGTAATTGGAATTAACGCTAAAAGTTGTTATTAAATTATTATGATTACCAAAATTATAACCATTATTACCGCCACCATTACTATTATTGGCATTCATTGAAACATAATTCTTAAACTTTGATTTCCTCCTACTACTACTATTATTATTATAAGGGGAAGAAGGAGATGTTGGAGATGTTGGAGAGGATGATGATGAGGAATGTTGATCATGTAATTGCTGTTGTTGTGGATGTTGGTAATGATGTTGATGATGATGATGGTGATAATCTTTAAGAGAGTAGATTGGATATAACTCTTGATGTATTATCAGAGCTTTTAAAGCCAAATCATCGTATTTTTCTTTGACTTGTTGAGAACAATTTGACCAAATCTCCTTTGACTGTTTACAAATCGTGGGCATAGTGAACCTATACCCGAGCTTTTTTAATTCTAGCATGTAACAATTCTTCATTAAGAAGAATGAGTTTGGCGGTCTCTTTGGATATTTAAGGTTTGGATTCATGAACGCACCAGCGAGATGATTTGAATTACTGAGACGTTGCTTATGTTTAGTGGACATTAATTCGGTGACTGAATAAGGTGGATTGTAAACATGATTCAAATCTACATCTATTGGAATTGTTGAATTCGTGTGACATATCACTGAGCCTGTTGAGGAAGATGATTTTGAATTATTCTTATTGGGAGCAGAGGCATCAACAGTAGAATTAGTAGAAATGTCAGAGGTGCTAGAATCAGCAGCAGCAGAATCAGCAGCAGCAGTAGAACTATCAGTAGCAGTATTATCAACACTAGTATTATCAGTAGTGGCAGTAGCAGGCGATGTTGGATCCGATGGATTACTTGCAATTATTGTTGTCGATTCAATTTTTCCATTCTTTAGTGAGATATTCGTATTTGTATTCGTATTTGTATTCGCATTCGTATTCGCATTCTTATCATCATTATTCTTGATAATGTTGACGTTGATGTTGATGTTTTTTTTGTTGTTGTTTTTGTTGTTTTTGGTTGCGAAGAAGGAGGAGGAAGTTTTGGTTGTTCTTGTTGTCTATTATCGATTTTATGTTGTTGATTTTTATAATCATTGTATGATTGATTATGAGAAGGTGGTTGTTGTGACGAGGAGGAGGAAGAAGAGGAAGATACTTGTTGAGAATTTTGTTGATAATTCGATGATGAATTTCTAAAATTGTTTGCCGTTGCCGTTGTTGATGACGATGATGACGATGATGATGTTGATGGTTTTGGATTATAATAATTATTGTTTTGTAAAGGACTGTTGTGATGAGGTTGATATTGTTGTTGTTGTTGATGATAATTATATCGATTATAATGTTGTTGTTGTGGCTGTTGTTGTTGATTATTATTATATCTCGATTTATTTGTAAATTTTGGTGGACATGGACATGTTTCTAGCGAAGGTTTAGGTATTGGTGATACTATTGGTGTATCACGATACTCAGGATCCAAATTTACTATAGTTCGAAAATGAAAAAAGTATTCAATTGATAAATACATTGTGTAATTTATTTATCACATGAAGTAGCAAGCAACTAATAACAAACCATCGTAAGGATCCATGATTTTTTTTATTTTTTATTTTGTTCAAAAATTGCAAGAGAAAAAACAAATTTGGCAAATGATGATTGATCACAAATGTAATATATGTAACATATATATGGGCCTTTTCGGTAGAAACCAAGAGATCTGCATTTCAGAAATTTCATTATGTAAAGTGGGGGTGGTACTAGTGATGGTCGGGTTTATAACAACCTAGTTTACACCCTGTTATATATACCTAATCAAATTGAAAAATCAAAATATGTATGTATAACAAGTGATGGTTGGATAAACAACCATAAATGAATCAATTGTTAATTTCATGATTACTTTACCAAAACCACTATTTTGGAAAACATTTGAAGATGAAGAAATTGACAATGACTTGAATTTCAATTATAATGACTATGATTATAATGGTGGAAATTATGAAGATGATAATGATTTTGATGAATTTATTAATTTAGAAGATGGTAGTAACAATCAAGAATTCTATGAAGATGTATAACATAAGTTTATTATACAATTATTTGTTATCTTATTACGTATTAGTGGTATATACCACAGTCGATTTCTTGTGTAATTTTTTTAGTAGGGTATATACCCCTCAAATCATTTATAACATGTTATATACCATCCCTAACGGTGGTGGTACAGCTTCTAAGCAAAAATTGGTCCAAGAACACTCTGTCCCCGTCTTCATCGGTGTGTTAGTAAAAATAAATTGTTAAACCGAATATTATTGCGAATAAATAGTTTCATTATGATTGGATTGTCCAAGTGTCTCGACATAAAATGCCACCACAAATTACTGCCGTTGAGTCCTTCAATGAATTATACTCATTCGATAAGTCTTCGTCACGCGTCAAAAAAATGCATTTGCATGATGATAAATTTGTCTAAAATCTTTTTACATATATAATAATAATAACAACAAATTTATTCGTATTTGGAATGTATCACAGTGCCATATTTTGAGTAAATATTTATAAAAAGCTCGTTTTTACAATTTGAAGTTGCACCAACTACATTTTTCTATAATACAAAATCATTTATTTGCCAGCAAGTTTCAAACCCGAGTATTTTAATTCTCTAAATTTAGAGAAAATAAATTTTGAAAATGTAACATTTTTATTTACTCATTATGTAAATTTTTGTAAAAACAAAGAAAGGATTTACTTGTTGGAATTCACTTAAAGAAGATAAAGTGATAGTCCGTTATTTTTTTTAATTAATGGAACCATTAGAAGGTGTATATATATATATTAATATATATATATATATATATATGCGCGGATATGCGAAAGAGTGACAAGAGTGGTGTTTTTAGTTTGGGTAAAAACGGCGACACTTGTGGACTTGTGCGAAAAAATAAACCATACAAACATAATGCTGCGTCTTAATTTTTATTCTTTATTCGGAGTTTGGTAAAGATTTCTTTATTTCGATTTTGGTAAATAAAACAAACTCTCATTCCCGCAATTTACTGTTTTACGATTGTTATTTATTTACAATAGCAAACACAATATCTACAAGTGTTGTGATTTTGCACTATTCTTTAAATAATAAAAACAAACGATCTTTACTAATGCAGAAATTAATGGCGTGGTTTTATATAAATGGAAAGTCCAAAGAACAATCTGCATTTTGGATTTCTTTTTCCTGAAGAATTGTTGATTTTTCTATTTAGAAAATTACAATTTCCTAATTTGTATTTATTCATTCATTTAATGGGAATTGTTTTTTTTTTGAATTATAAGGCTTTTTTTTTCATATTTATATATAGTTAGGACCCAATTAGCTTATTTTTCGTATAAATACAATTTAAATATAGTTATCTTGCAAAAAATTTTAATTTTTTTTTCCTAATAAAATAATAATAAAAAAAAAATTTTTTTTTTTTTTTCAATAAATAACCCATATCCCCACAATATTTCACACCAGATAGAATCTTTAGAAATATTATTAAAATTAAATAATAATAATAATAATATAAACGTCTATACAAATTTTTTTTCATATACAAAACTTTATAAATATAATATGAACTTGGAACTCATAAAAATACGGTTTTGTCCAGAATGTAGCCAACGAATAAATAGCAACTGGTGTGAATATTGTGAACCGATACAGTTTAAAGAAAATTTTGATAATTGGACTAGCGAGGATACGGAAATTGATAGATTTATACAAGGAACTCAATTGAGTGCAAAAAATTGTACCGATTATTTAGAATGGATACCATTTGAATCTTTTATCGGGATTGATAAATATGACGAAGCAGAAACGGGTATTGTTTATGCTGCAAATTGGAAAAAAGGACCTAAAGATTCCTGGGATGAAATTGAAAGGAAGTTCATTCGAAAACGTGACTTAACCAAAGTTGCATTAATATCCTACGGAAACAATGCATATGCTTTCCTTAAAGAGGTAAGAAAGACAATTAATTTTGTGAACTATTTACGAACTGTTATTTACAATTATATTAATATTAACATGATTATAATGGTTATAATTAATAATAGTTAAAAACACATTATAATGCAAGAAAACATAATGGACTTATGATAAGAATATTTGGAGCTACACGAGAGTCGATAACAGGGAATTATATGATGGTAGCCGAAACAGTGGAATGGGATGTAAGACATTATACTTCACATCATTTTTCACATCTTACTTGGTCAAGAAAATTGGGAATCTTATACTCGATAGCATCAACCATCGAATCATTTCAAAACGATGACCAAATGATGGTATGTAAAGGCACTCACGGTAATGGACAAATTTATAAATCACATATTGAAATACCCACCAACGAATTAGGTCTAGGAACTTCCAAGGAACCAATTCCTGTGATCGGGTATTATAAGAATAATATTTTATCTTACGTTGCACCAGAAGTTTTATCAGGTCAATTGTATAGTGAAGAAAAATCAACCATATATAGCTTTGGAATTCTAATGTGGGAATTGGCTATTAACAAACAACCATATTACGATAGTTCATCACAATCACATCGCCATCATCATAATCATAGCAAGACCAATTCAAAATCATTGTTGAAATCGATAATCCATTCAAACTTGAGACCTACAATTAGTGAAAACAACAGTTACATGATGCCTGAATGTTACATTGACTTGATGAAGAAGTGTTGGTCATCAGATCCAAAGTTACGTCCAACATTTCGTGAATTGGTAAGCGTTCTTGAAAACTGGCATTTATATAAAAAAGATTCGGAAGCATTTGAGAAGTCGGAAAAAATAAGAATAAAAATACTGAAACATAAAGGATACGATACAACTCCAGACAAATTGGTTGAACCAACAAAAGTACATCCACAAGCAATTTATGCTAGCAGAAAATTAAAATTTCCAATCTTGCACAAATCGTTACCAGGTCATTCGAATGCTGCAGCAGGAGGAGAAGAAAATCATCAACAACCAAAAACGATAGATTTAGAATCATTGTTAATACGCGACCAAAGTTATTTTTCTATAATGGTAAAATAGTGATGTTTTTTTTTTACATTTGTACATATAATATAGTAAAAGTAATTAGTTTTTTATTATTGTTGAACGTTAATTTTTTTGAAAAAATCATCAATATATTATATGGCTCTGTTTCAGTGGCCTAGTAATAGCAGTTGTCTTAATTTTTCTAGTTCTGTTGAGCCATATGAAATGGTGGGTCATAATTTTTGGTGATTTTTGCAATGTTAATCTAATTTTTTTTTTTACAAGACAATCAAATAATTTAATAATCTTAGAAATTCATTCATTAAAATTCACCACACTCATTCATTCACATTCACCGACTTTTATTCAATCTTTTTATTTAAACAACCCCTTATTAATTATTTTTTATTTTATGTTTAATTTTTTAGATCATCAAAAGTAAATTTTTCGCATTTTTTTTTTCTTCATGTAATTTTTTGATAATGATAAATAAACATTTTCTAAACACAATGAATATTTGTGTAGACGCGAACCCGGGGCCCATCCATGCTAAAACACGACCTAGAGATTCACCAATAACTTCTCTTTATCGTTATTGTCCACGAATTATATCTTGGATGTTGTTAATTAATTAATTACATACAATAATTTCTATTGTGATTCTTTATATATATATATAATTTTAGTATAAAGACTAATTTATTTAATATGAACAATTATATATAGCCATATGGAAGAGAGGATACATATAAACAAGGAGACTATTATTATTATATTAATAGTTTTTATGATTTATTTTATTATGAAGGAAGATAAATGAGACAAAAACTAATTATTATTATCATTATTATCTGTCGCAAGTGTAGTAAATGTATTGAAACATAGTTCAATCCTTGGAAACTCTTATTCTTGTATATTCATTCAACCCATTCTAAAGATGGCAACAATATGCTTTTCGAAAAGATCCAGCCAGAGTCCTTCAAACTTAACTTTAGGATTGGGTAAATTTTTTTTAACATTTGTTCTGTTTGCCGGGAAGTATCATATTCTAAATATAAATGATTTAGTATAGATACGGATAGATTTAAAACATTAGAGTCATCTGAAAATTAACAAGTGGACAGGGAGAAAAGGTATAATAATATATTTTAATTACCATTTTCACGTGATTTCTACATTCTATAGATCCTTTCCTAAAATAGAAGAAGGAAATAAAACGGAGATTGTCCACCACCACCACCATTCAGTCAATGGTGAATAATAAAGAAGGATTATAAACCCCTTAAACTGTAATTATTTTGTTTCAATTATTAATAAATAAACGAGTTTACTTTTGTTGCGGAAAATGGCCAGTTTAGCGATCTAGCTAATAAAGGCATCAAAATTACCTTTATTGGTAAGATATTCATGCTCAATGATAAATTTGGTCTCAAATTTTGCATTTTGCGCAGCAAAACTTTGGACACTAGTTATATAATAATAATAATAATAATGATAATAATAATGATAATGATAATGATAATGATAATGATAATGACAAGAACAAATAAATAAAACAATGAAAAATGTTCTGCACGGGAAATTGCATTTGATCCCTTTCTATAAAGACGCCCATATGACAGATACAACTTTTTCTACTTTGATTAAAGGGAGAAAGAGGTACTTGAATTAAATATGGTGCACGAAGTCCATAACCACATTATTTTTATAAACAATAACATGTAGATCCCCTTATAAAAATAACTAAAGTTTTGAGTCTCAAACAGAGGGAATAATGATTGGTTGTCGAGTTCTGTTTCTTTTATAAGAAAGAAAGAAAGAAGGATTAAATTAATTAATTATTATTTTTGGCGTAATCAATCAAAATCATCGCATTTATCAGCAATCTTTCTTTATTATGTGGATAAATAAAACTTATCTTCCATGAAGCTGCGTTAAATAGAACCAATTTTCCTCTTTTATCATATGTTTGTTTTACTGTAGTCACCTGTCAACACTAATTTGGTAACACGGGCTTCGTAATCGTGCAACTTCAAATATAGATAAGTGTATCGTTTATTTCCTCATCTTCAAATTGAAGTATTTTGAAAATGTCGTTTTTCAAAGAATATTTGACAGTTTTAACAGTTTTAGAACTCTCGGCTTGCATTATTTTATTATCTATACTAAAATTTTATTATGATTATTTCACTCGTCCAATTCCATATCCGGGTCCACTTCCATTGCCTATTATAGGTAACCTTCATCAGTACTTTTATCATAGGGATGATATACCATCTTGGCTTTATCGATTGAGTTTAAAATATGGAGGTGTATTTGAAATGTATTTCGGGCCCAACAAGCAATTGATGATCAATGATTCTCGGGTGGTTGAACGAGTGATGAGTCCAGCAAAGGATGGCAACTACTTTATGCGTTTTAAGACCAAAATAGGATTAGATGAGTTAGATATGGGCAGCAATGGGACGTTATTTAATGTGGATTTCAATTCTTGGTCTCATATCAGGAAAATTATCTTTAGGATTATATCGTCACCCAATGCTTTAAGATTTTCTGAAAAGTTAGCCAATGATATTTTTCAGGATTTAGAGAAGTTGTGGGATAGTTTAATTGAAAAACAAGGTCAAATTTGTCATAAAAAGCAAAAAAAATCGGTGACGATTGATTTTATGCCTTGGACGAAAATAATTTTCGCAGAATCTATAATGTTGATGACAACCAGCCGAAAACCCAATTTATTGTCATCGTACTACAACAGAATCACAAATAAAAATCTTGATGGCAATATTAAAAGAGATTCAAATGAAGAATTTTTGGAGCGTTTTGTTATCGCATCTGATTGTGTACAATATTATCTGTTAGTTCCACCATTAATTCGTAATCTTCCAATCGTAAACACTTATACAAAATATTTGTACGATAATGTAACGTGGACAAGAAAATATGGATGCGAATTGGCTAAAGAACGTAGAAAAGAAATCGAAAATATCGATGATAGTGAAAAATTATCACGTGACCTGTTAAATATGTTACTGACGGTTAACACACCAAAGGATATCACTCAAGGTATATCGAATGATGATAATGAGAAACCTATGACTGATCAAGAAGTTGGTGATACTATGATTGAAATAATTAGTGAAGGAATTGATAGCGTATGTATTAATATTAAATACATAATTTTTCTATACGACTAAGCTGTTACTAATAATATTTTCTTAAAGCCCTCGAATGCTTTAGGATCTATTCTTTATTGCGTTGGAAATAACCCGGATGTCGAACAACGTATTATTGAGGAAATTGAAACCGTACTTGGTAATAAATCTGATTCGAACATCACCCATGAAGATTTAAATAAACTTGAGTATATCGAAGCTGTGATAAAAGAAGGTAACCATTCTTCAAAATCTTTTTGTAATCGTATCGATTAAATTTTATTCAATCATGTGATGACATTTTCTTAGTGCTGAGAATCAGGCCAGCTACAGCAACGATTTCACGTTTCTCGGCAAATTCCGATCAAATTGACGAGTACACAATTCCAGCATCAACACAATTAGCAATCAATATTATGGGACTACAAATGAATCCAAAATATTGGGAAGAGCCTACAAAATTTAATCCCTCGAGATTTTTGGCAAGTAGTAACAACAATGAAAAAGAAAGCTACAATAAAAACGCATTCGTGCTTTTTGGTGGTGGATTGCGTGTATGCCCAGGTAGGCATATGGCAATGATCCAACTCAAAATGTTGGTTGCTATGTTATATAATAAATATAAATTCGAGGTGATTACTAAGAAGCCTTCAACAAGGTTCAACATCAATATACAAAGTAAGGAATTGCAAATCAGAATCAGCACGAGGAAATAAACATGAACATTGAATTAATGATAGAAACAATAAAATAACAAGAATAGCAAAATAGTTTTATGAATATGTGATTGTTGTAAAATATTTAGATAAAGGAAATATGTTAATAAAGCACCATATTAATTACTTTAACAAATAAATATTAGAAGACCAATTTACTATTACTAACATTAAATACTGTATCCTCCTCCCTCAAAAAAGATTAATTAAATTATCTGTGTGGACCGTTTCTTCTTTTCTAAAAATCATTATTTTGATGGTTTCGTTTATCCTTTTGTCTTATCCAATAAACTAATATGGTTCTGGCAATATAAAATCATATATTCATCCATGCCAATATCAAAGTACTAAAATAATGATTTCCATTATAGAAAACACTATAGAAATAATTGGCTTTAACAGATCCTTAAAAAATGCAGAAATTGCTGGCGTTTATTGTTTTTATAAATCCAAAGCTTCAAAGTTTCTAAAATCTTGTCATAAATCACCCAACGAACAAATGTCAAAAAAATTTCATTACTAAGTTGTTTTTGCTTTAGCTCAATAATTGATTAATCGATTACTATCGTTGTTACTTACAAATGAATAAATAACTCTCAACGGTGTAAATGTTTCATTTATTTGGTACCTGAACTTGATTCACATCATAAGTCGAACGGTTTCAAATTGGATTGAATCAGTTTTTAAAAAACAAAAAAATTGTTATTAAAAAAATGTTTAGTGATTTTTCACAACAAATGCCTGGACTTCAACAACTCAACAACTACAAATTAAGTGTGTCTAGGCATTACAGCTCATTGAATTGATGATAATTGGAGAGTGAAAAAAATATTAATTAATTTTACCTCTTAATGAAAACCACACTGGGGTCTGTTTAGCAAATAAAATTTTAGATACTTTCGTTTTGGCAAGAAGTTTTGGCAATGACCAATGGGTCAAATATGGTTAATTTAGCAGAACACTTAATTATTTAATTCAAAATATGACAATAAGAATTTTATGCATCTCAGATGTGGTGCTCATGTGTTAAACCTTGCATTTGTTGTTCGTACCCCAAGATTCAATTATTACACGCACAAGAGGAAATAAAATTAATTGATCAAAGATTTTTTCGAATTTAACTGTTCTGCACTGTATCACACAAAATGCCCTTTTTATTAATTGTAACATGTGATTGACCATTCATTTTCATTTTAAATAAAAAAAAAAGTAAAAAAAAAATGAATTCAATATTTGAAAAATATTTCAATGAAAATGAAAGATTATTAAATACTGAAGATTTTTATGATGTAAAGATATATGTTGGAGTAGAGCCAAACATTAAAGAAGTTCATGCACATGCATCTATTGTATCAGCTCATTGTCCATCTTTTGGCAATGAATTAAGTAATGCAACAAAAGAAAACGGTTACTATATTATTAAGAAAGCTAATATTAGTGAAAAACTTTTCAAGCCTATTCTTAAGTAAGTTTAAAATAAATTTATTTTGCTTGTTTATTATTATTATTATCGAATAATAATAATTTATTTATTTTGTAGATTTTTATACACATGTAAATTTGAATTTGAAAATTATTCTGGGGATGAAGTGTTGGAAATATTAATTTCAGCGGATGAACTTGGCATTGAGTCACTTTATGAATATACAATGAAGTATTTTATTGAAAACTATGAAGATTATATAAAAGAAAATTCAGTTAAAATTTTACAATTGATCTATGCCAATGAAAGATTAGATGAATTGAAAAATATCTATTTTGAAAAGTTTTGTGACTATAGTGAAAAATTATTTGAATCAAATGAATTTGAATCATTGGAAAAACCAGTTTTTTTAGAAATTCTCAAAAGAGAAGATTTTTCTGTTGATGAGATGATTATTTGGGAAAATGTTCTTAAATGGGGGTTGGCAAAACATCCAGAAATCATTAATATCAATGTTGAAGATTGGTCATTACAAAATTTTGCTGATTTAGGCAACACATTAAAAGATTTCTTTTCTCTAATAAGATTTCAGGATATTTCTAAAGAGGATTTTTTTGATAAGATTGAACCATATCATATGCTTCTTCCTAGAACTTTATGGAAACCTCTTTCACAATATTATATATTTCCTGATAGACAACAAACATTAAATTTATTACCATCAAGAATTTTAAAATTGAAATCAACACTTGAATCATTGACAATCAATCATAAACTTACATTACTTTTTGCAAGTTGGATCGATAGAAAAAGTCCACCATATACCTCACTCAAGGAAGTCAAATATGGATTTAAACTTCTATATTGTAGCAGCAGGGATGGTTTAAATGCTTCTGCATTCCATCGGAAATGTAATGATGTTGACAAAACTCTTGTAGTTGGGAAAATACAAAATTCAGAGCAAATAGTTGGTGGTTATAATCCACTTAATTGGAATGGAGGAAGTATACGTAAACATGAAGCTGTAAGTTTTATATATAAAAATACAACTGAAAGTTTTATATTTAATATAAGTAATAGAAAAGATATCAATACTGCACAATTTAGTTATGTTATCAATGATGATTATAAAAGCGCAATTTGTTGTCATCCTTTTTTTTTACCTAGGTTTGGTGCTGGTCATGATGTTTGGTTTAATTACGAAAAAGATATTTATAGTAGCCCAGGGACTTATAATAACATTAATATAGTAAATAATAGTAAAATTGATGAATTAGAAGTTTTTCAAATTATTGATAAAAAATAAAATGGTGAATACAATGTTATGATATGATGATTTAAATTATAAATTTGAATTGGCGAGGAAAAATGATGACTTTGTATAACTATACTTTAGTATTATAAAATAATGTTTTTTTATTTTATGAAACAAATATTAAAGAACATATTTATGTATCTATTTTAGTAGCGGAAGAACTTTTTTTCGCATGTATTTTAAAATATAAATTGATTATTGAATTTTAAAGCAAAAAGTTTATTATAATATTGTGTCTGTACTCGAAAACTTTTTTGTCCAAAATAGTGCATTTAGCGTTTGTTTTCTTTTTTGCTTTGAGAATAAGGACGTCGGGAAGGATAGGTGTAATCCTGATTCAGCTACGAAAGTCAATAAAATCACATTATTTACATCATGGTCTTCAACCCAAAGCCAGATAGTAGAGTAAAACGAATTTTCGTTAAAGAGGTTAGCAGGGAATATTTTTTTTATACAAGTGTAAGTTCATGTATTATTATTATATTACAGTTCATCCAACTCCTTTATCCCAGAGAAAAAAAAAGGAAGGTCAAATAAAACATTCAGTGGTATTAATTATAATTAACATTGCAATTAGATCAAACAAAGTGAACATAAATTTGAGGTCCGTATATGAACAAAGAATACAGTATATATATATTATAACAATAAATATAAATACATAAAATTTACATCTAATATAACCAATTAAAAAGAACAAAACCAAATTAAATTATTATTAAATATGATTATTTTTTGAGACAAGTCAATAAGAAAACTGTATCAAAATATTTTGCATGGTTAATCAAGTTAATATTTGGAAGTTTCTGAGAATTTGCGCAAGTTTTATCCTCGGGATCTTGACACTTGACAATTTTGTTATTATCACTACATAAATAAATATAAGATAATTAATAAAAATATATAAAAATATCAAACAAATATATTTATAACCACAGTCACTCCATTATACTTACGGTCTAATCCAAAATTGCGCACCATGATGTTGGTATTTAAATGCTTGAGGTGGCACGTGTGGAACTAGGTCAGCTTTATTTACAACTCTGAAAAAACTAAAGCCGGTTTTTTCAACCAAAGCAGCGAAATTTTTATCTCCTGTTCTTGGTTCACCATATGTATAAGTTAACAAGTTTGATGGATTTAAACCTGGTACTCCGATTAAATCAAGGGTTTGGAAAACTGCTAATGCTATTATTTAATAAATGGATTGATGGATGTGAATTAATGGATTGATTGATATATATATATATAAGTAAATTGTATTTTAAAATATTGATAATAGTAATAATATGAATAATAATATAATGTGCTACTCACATCCACCTAAGCTATGGCCAGTGGTAACAACTTTGTAATCGGGATTTTCAGCGACCAATTTTTTTACTAAATTTGTTATTTCTGTTCTTGTGTCGTTATATGTAGCAAGAAATCTAATAATATAATGTATAATTTAATGAATTAGAAAATTAGAAAATAAAATTTGTTTTTTCAAAAAATACAATTATTTATAAACTCCATTACTAACCCAGAATGAACCTATTATTTTATCAGTCGAAATTTATTTAAATTATGAAAAAAAAAATTAAATTTTTTAATTAATATTATTAATATTATTAACTCAAAATGTTTGATAACTAACGATTAATAAATAATCCTTCTTTTTACCTTTGCATTGTTAGATTTGTCAAAAAATGGAACTTGAAGAAACTCGAGATCATTAAGGAAGCTTTTTACATTTGCTGTACCTCTAAAAGCAACTACGATTGCCTTTTCTTTATCGTTAATCGCAACTAAATTGTTTGTAATGTAAATTATTAATTAATCGGATAATAATTGAATAATACTTGTGGGTGAACTAATCAAATTTGGTATAGTTATCGATAGGTTACTTCATGAGCGGAAAAGCCATGATATCACTTGTTTGTTAGACTGATTTTCGACAAACCAAATTTGAGTTTCGCCCACAAGTATAAATTTAAATCATTATAATAATTACCATAAGCGTTATTATCTCTTGGCACACTGTTTTGAAAGAACTTGATGAGCCTGGTATCTTTAGTTTCCTCAGTTTCGCAAGCTGCACCGCATTTCCAGTCAGTTACATCACAGTATGCGGCACTAAACAAATAAATAAAGCGCATAATATATATAAGTAAAGAAGAAGTTCTTTATGTATTTATTATTACATCAGAAGTATTTTATTAATTACTTTGCGAATTTTGTCCAAAGTCGGAATTCAGCGACATCATTATCGCTTACGGGTAATTGAGATGACGTGTCATTGTTGGCGGTTGGTTTGAATTTGTTATTGTTGTTTTTATTGGTTTTGTTATTTCCACGTTTATAATGATGAATTGGGGAAGCGTGTGTATAATAGAATGATGACACGTTAATAAAAATGAGAGCGATTAAGATAAAAAATGTAAATGTAGTCATTTTTTATTGACAATTGGTTTTAAAGAGGAGAAAGTAGGTAAATAGGCTAGTTGGAGAGTGTGGAAAAAGAGAAAATGATAGATTGAAAGGGAGAAATAAAGAATGTAGGCAATTATATATAATATAATATATAATATGGCAAGAGGAGTGGATGGTGTGTATGGTGATTTATGATGGTGACGATAACTATATGTTAAATTAATGTATATAGGATAATAAACCACAAGAATAATGTTGAATAAGAAGCCGACCAGCGCCTTTAATATTTGTCAAATAAATTGTGGATTGTGTATAGATACCGTACACCACCAAAGGAGATAAAAATAAGGAAAGGAAGGAAAGAAAAAGAATGAATAATTATTTAATAATAACTTTTGGTTAATTATTTATTTTATTAAATTTGTTAGTAAATAGTGAAAGAATTTGGATGCCATTTTATAAGAAATATTTTTTTTAATGTCCATTGTTTTTTTGAATTCTATTTAGGAAAACAATCAAAAAAAAAAATTACCGAAAAAGTAAATTAATTAATTAATTTAAAAAAAAAATTTTTATTAAATTTTGCTTGTTTACTTTTTTTTTTACTGCTACGATCAGCGAAAAACCGATGTACGTACAGCAACCCCTACAAGGAATTTGTTTATTTGCTAATTTTATAGTTTTAATAACCAACAATGTAAATCCTTACTAAAGTAATCAAAATTTCATGAGGAATTTTCGACACAAAACAAATTCAAGTTTCAGGATTAAATTTATATTAAAAAGAACTATGTGAAATGGCATTGGTTTACTTTAAATGCTACTAGTAAAACATTATGTTCAGGTCAATTGGACACTCTTTAAAAAGACTAGTCCAACACCTTGTAATTTATAATTCACATTCCCTTTTTGCCAGATAAGGTTTTAAAAAGAAAGTGCAAACTTTTATAAAAACCATAATTTGGGTTTTTACTTCTCGACAAATGTTGATTTGGCCACATTATCGATTTAAAAGTCTTTTTTACAATAAATCAATCTCGCGAGAATCCTTGGTGAAAGGTAGCCAGTCACCTGCACCGAGAATATACTAGTAAAACATGTGAAAGTAGTGGATGTATCTAGCAAAAATATTGGACTTTTATATGTGCATCATGCAGTTCCGCCATTGATAGGAACCAATAAATACATATTACGGAAACACGCTCGCAACGTTGGGGCCTACACTTATTACAGGCTGGCTGTTTACGTATGACTTTACTTACTTGGGTATAGGTAAGATTTTTAATTTAATTGCGTAATAAAAATTTGTGACACAAAACTAATTATTAAAAATCACTTTTTTGATTTTCAAAATACATGTTTGTAGACCAAAAATAGAAATTTAATTGATCTAGAAAATTAATATTTTAAGTAAATAAATATATTATTATATAGATGAAAAAAGAAAAAAAAAATCAAATCTATGTTTTGTTGTTAATGCTGATGATTTGTTTATATGTTTTTACAATTATTTAATGAATAATAACATTTTTTTTTAACATTGTTGTTAAGTATTAATTATTTTGTTATATATTGATTGGTTATTGAATGATTGCTAATATACAAAAGTAAAAATTAAAATTAAATCAAAACAATTGGATTAAATTAAAATTAAAAATATATTAATATATTTCTAATTTGAGCTGTTAAAATGAACATTATTAGTAGGAATAAGCGTAAATCAAGTTAAGGATAATAATAATATAAACTTAATTAATTAATAATAATTAATAATAATTTTCAATTATTCAGTTCTTTCTTCATTTTTTATAGAGAATAAAAAAAAAGGATACATATAAAAATGCATTTTTACACGGATCTCTAAAGTTTAAACCCAATCGATTATAATAATTTATATTCTCATCGTCTAAAAATAGACAGACCTCCTCGATCATCTTATAAATAATCAGAAAATAGTGATTAGATGATGATAATTATATTTAATTGGACGCATTTCTATACATACGCATATATTTATTTACCTTGTCATAATTTGATCTCAAACAAAATGTTGAAGTGTATATTGTTAAGCATTCAAGAATATTGCCAATTACAGCATATTTGGGATTATTCGCTTTCTCTAATAATTCATTCAACCTGTTAATTGTTTCTTTAAATCTTATTGGACTTATCTAGTAACACGAAAATATATAGCATAAGTATATTAATATATGTATATATTGCATACATGTATAAATATTATGCATGAATAATTTTACCCTTTCGTTGATTTCTTTAGGAAGATTATTATTGAATTGACATGATTCTCCATTGGTATAGTCCCTTTCGATCTTTATAATTTTTTTTGGCTTTATTATTAATGTAGATGTTGTTGATGATATTGATGATGATATTGATGCTGGTTTTTTATTATTACTATTGTAAATATTGTCATTGATAATATTACCATTATTATTATTATTATTATTATTATTATTATTATTATTATTTATAATCAAGGTATTATTATTTGGTTCGGTCGTCATCTTGTTATTCGTGTTTGTAAATGTTGACTTTTTTGGTGAATTTAATTTCTTTGTTAATTTCCTGGTCATTAAATTACCACCACTTTCCTCGCCATTCCTACCTTTACTACTACTACTAATTTCTGACGTGATGATTGTTGCTGTAGTCAAATTATCATCTGTTATTGGTATTGATGATATTGTTGTTTCTTGTTGTTTTTGAATTATTATAATGTTATTATTATTATTACTTTTAATACTGTTGCTACTAATATTAACGCTACTACTATTATTACTATTATTGATACTAATATCATTGTTACTATCATTAATGTTGTCATGATTGTTAGCACTTATAATATCTTTGTCCTCTGTAATTGAAACTTCAAAATTCTTCCTTATCATTTGGGATGAAGTGGTAGAAGAAATACTACTATTATTACTTTGCCTTTTTCCGATTTTACTATTTCTACTTCTCCTTCTTGCCTCTACACTGCCTTCTTCTCTTCTCTCTAATGACGCTACTTCCACATTTTCTTCTTCATCATCTTCTTCATCTAGTTGTAATTGACTATTATTATCATCATCAACAATTTCGATGGTTTTTTCTTCTTCTGATTGAATGTTTTTCATATTTTTTAAATTTTAAAAATTAAATTAAAAAAGGATGAAAAAAAAAAAATTTAACCTATTAATTAATCAATTTACCAACAACAATAATATTTAATAATAATAATAATAAATAATAATGTACATACAAATTACACATGCATATATTAAAAATATCGAGAAAATAATTTATAAATTTGTGTGAAGTAAAAAATTTAAGAAAATTATTCTTTTGTGTGACAAATAAACAAAGTTAACCAATCCAATACTATACTAATACATAAAAGGATATAATTTCAATTCAAGTTAAAAGAGGTATTCATACTATTACAATTGCAGCAAGCATGAGAAAAGGGAAACAATATTAAATTTATAATTGGCTAATTCAAATTAAAGTTGTATAAAAAATTTTTAATTAAACATGACAAATTTTTTTTTACAACTATGACTTTTTATGAATTGCTAATACTAATGAAGAAGCTCTTATTAAATTTACTTTATCATTGATTTAACATTGGAACTGATCATCATATTAAATATCAAGTAACACATGCTCAAATTCCTAAGCCGTGCGTGACTATAATTAATATGTGTGCATGTATTGTATATTTTTGAAAAAAGGACAACTGATAAGGCTTTTAAATTTAATATCTTTTGTGGCTTCAAAAATATTTTTTTTTTAGTTTTCAATAACTTAAATCTATGAAAAAAGTCATCAACAATCTACCAAGTCTTTATTTAGAATAAAAATACTTCAGTGTGTTATCGTATATTATTAGGGTCATAATGAATTGTAAAGGTTAAATGCCACAATGGCTCCCTGAAAGTTTATTTATGATTTTTGAATTTGGCTTTCTAATATTTGAGATTGAGCCTCTGTGCAGATTTTGAATAATGCTTGCTTTGTTAGTTTCTAAATAGTTTTTTCATGTCCAAGATTATTTTCTGTAATTTAAATATTTTGCTCGGCTGCAATTAGCTCATTTCTTCATTTCTTTCCTTCATTTGCTTAATAAAGCTCTCGTAGCCTTCTTGTTTTTTTTTGCTTTCGTCTTTTCTTGTTGATTTCATTTTGAATTTCCTTTGAATTCTTCTCATAAAGTATTATTTCACTATTCCCTTTTTTCCCATTGATTATTTATTTGTCTTTGGATTCAACCAAGCTTTTAAAAGACTCTCTTATCGATACGAGCATTCTTTTTGAGGCATCTGCTAGTATTTATCGATCCACCGTCCATTAATTTGAGTTGAGCATTAAAAATATGTCTGGTTCTTATTTGGAAAGAGCTTGGAAGGTCTCGCTCAATTATGTAAACTCTCTTTTTGTAAGCATTTTTTGATGAAAAACCTAATTTTAAAGAACGGAGCACTTTTTGATATTTAGTATAAATTTATGTTCGCCTCGTAGTTTTTCTTTACGATGTACAGATTAATGGGATCTGGATATATTACTTTCTTTTAGATGATCCATAAGTACAAAAATTCCCCATCACTAGCACACATATTTATAAATTGCAAACCCTTAACTCGACATAATTAAATAAACTTGATAACCTGGTTCTTTGTAAAGCTAATTCACATCTTTTTTTGTCAACCATAAGTTGCATCAATTCACTAGTATTTTTGTTTTTCTGCTGGTAATGTTTTCCTCCAATTCAAAAAAGTATTAGATGCCTTAAATGCGCTAACTACAAATATATATATATATACATATATATATATATCAGTTTATAGCTTAGGTTCTGAAGATTATGTATAAAAACTTTATGGTTTCGGGTTTTCTAAAACTTTTTCAATTAACATTTTATTTTACTTGCTTAAATATATTTTTTTTTGAAAAATTTAAAAATTTTTAATAATTGTTCTATGATAAAAAGTACTGAACAATGTAATATAATATTAATATCATGCATGCAGCCTAAATTATGTCAAAAGCCAAGCCTAAAACATATAAACATACGTGAAACATTGAATCACATGTGAATAACTATACTAATACTATTTTGGAATGATTATCGTCATAATCATATTTTTGTTTTATTGTTTGTTGTTTCGAAAATTTAAGTATTACGAACCGTTAATAAAGGCTGTAGATGATCCCTTCATGAAACCCATAAACATGCCTCTATATATTATAGGGTACGTTTGATCTAAATCATCGGTTTCGATTATTCGTTTCGAGTAAATGATTTCGCATCCTGAATATTCTCCATCCATTATGAAGTGAATGGATATATATATATATATAATATAATATTGTTTTGAATTTTTTCGCTATCTTTCTCAACTGTAAATACTTCTGTCTACGATACATTTCCACTGTTTATTTCCTTGAGATGCTTTAAACAAATTTGGCATGTCCACATATCTTATCGTTCCTTGTACCAAATCTGCTTGAATCTTACATCTTGAGCGTTTTCATAATGATATTCAGTCTTATAACCAATAAAATCAATCATTGACGTTATTTTTCTATTTTTCATAAACACAATTAATTCTTTTATTAAGTCTCCAACTTACCCGATATATTAATTAAAATGTTATCCAAATTATATACATATATTGATATATCATGAATGATGATATTGTGAATATTTTCAAGTGCTGGAAATTGAATCAATGTTAGTTGTGGATTTTGTAAATTAAAGCAAAGTTGATTAGATTTGCACGTTTAAGAGAGTTAATCCTTGCATTTTGATAGTTGCAGTTGGTGTAACAACGATTTCTATGGTTGTTGTCGCATTGTGATTTTTGTTTTTTGCCTACCCAAAATAATATTTTCACGTAAAACATGCTGATCAAGACATTCCCTTTTACTTGATCATTTCTTTTTCCCTATTACTATTAGCCGTAACGTGGAAACTTTTTATAACGGAAAAAATAACTCTGTTTTTCCAAGATGAATTACTTTTTTTTTTTTTCCAAATTTTCATCTTTAAAGAAATTTATTAAATATAAATCCTCTGCACTCCATATAAATGGAATCGCATATATCAAATTAAGGAATAGAGGAGGTGTCTAAAATTGTAGTAAAGATATTATTTATTAAAACGATCATTGGATCTCTTAAATAGCACAAAATTTTCCAAACAAAAACGAATATAAAAAATTCAAGTCAAATCGTAAATAACTCAAGATTATACACAAAGTCCAAGGATAAAAGCGCCAACGGCCCCGTTAAAAGAGTATAAGCTTATTTCATTGAGACAATTAGAGTCATAGATTTAAAATAAAAATAAAGAAAATCATCGGCAAGCAAACTTATCCATCAACCAACTTGTGTTATTTAGAAAAAAAGAGCGCATAGAGGTAGAACAACTAATATTGCATTCTAACTCATAAAAAAAAGCTATGGTCTCCTAACAATATATCAACGAAAGTAATTAAAAAAAAAAATGCCAGAAAAGCATAATTTTAGATGGAAGATAAAATAGTCACAAAAAAATATCTTTAAAGATAGAAAATTCCCTTTTCTTTAATGGTTTTCGAATGATAAATTAATTATCACTTTATTAGTTTTAAACTAGGATTTCCAAAAGATAATTAACCAAATGGTCAGCATTCTGCATAGAGTGCTCCACGACTGTTTAGTTTATCCCTTAAACGAAATTCCGTGCTAATTAGCACGGAATTTGGAATTGCGATCATAAATTACAAAAAATAGACATTTTCCTGGAGTACCACCACAACTTTTCTTATTTAGAAAATGATATTCAAAACCCCATACTTCTATTAAAAAAATTTATTTGGGGTTACATATAACAGGTAAGGAAATAATATGTGTAAAATGTAAAAATACCCATTTTTTTGTTATGAAAATTTTCTTGCAGATCACGTTTTTTGATAGTAAAAATTTGCGATATAGTTATATAAACCTATATCTCCTTCACTAAAATTATTTAGCTAGTATGCAAAGTCTACTAATGGAACTTGTTAATCAGATCAAATCACATGATTTATGTCAAAGAACCATAGGTCTAGTATCAATAATTAAAATTTTCCATATAATGAACTTTTCAAAAAAAATTTTTTAAAAAAAATACAAATGTTTCTTTATTTATAAAAAATCTTAAATATAATTCCAGTATGTACGATTTTTTTAAAATAATTTTTTCAGAATATATGTTAATTGAAAATGCAAAAATATTCGGGGTTTGTTAGTAGTATTTTAATTTAAAGAGGGATTGAATTTACTCGGAAGATCTACACAAATTTGGACCAAAAATCCCTGTACGTTTAAGGGATAGATTGATTTGCAGCAAACTTATTTAACTTATTAAACAGTCACTATAATGGGCACACAACAATGAACAAATCACACATTTTAAACGATAGAAAAGAGCTATGATCACATATATATCCAGACAGATCAAAATGAACATTTTAGAAATATATATATAGGATTAATTGGATTTTAAAATTTAAATAGAATAAACTTCCCCAAAATCCGCGCAAATAGAATTTCGTATAATAGAACACTGGCACTTACCAACGTGTCCGAATCTTGCAGAAATTAAATTCAATGTAGCAATTTTTATCGTAGAAGAACTTCTTGAATAGTGTAACAAAGCAGTTGAGATTATACATTACACAATTGCAAAGGGACTGGCTTTTGGTAATTCAGACCTTGATAAGCTAAAAGGGATTATCATCATAGTAATAGTCTTGATTTCAACAAATCATGTAGAGATCTGTCGAAGAGATAATATCCAAATATAAATACAGTCACTTCATGTTGTGTCTAATCCTTAATTTATGAAAAAATAATCTTTCGTCCGAATTGGGCTTTTTTTGTTTTAACTATGGCAAGCCAAGAGATGTGTCACGCACAGTGTGTGAGAATTTTTTAGTGCACAGTGCGCGCATAGTTCTCATGTTATACTACATAGCATGCATGTACAAGTTTCTCCGTATTAATACATTTGCAAAAGGTTTACAATAATTGCCAATTCAGACAAATCGTTAGGACGAAGTATTTTTAGTTAAGTTTTTGTAGGCATTAATTAATAAATATTTCTAGTTAA